GTATAGAACCAACTCACCAGATCATGGCATGCAAACAGGGAGATGCCAGACCTCTCATTCATCATGACTGCTTCTTACCATTCCCTAGTTCCTGTTTTTCTACACATTGTTACATTTTTTCCCTGCCATATAAACTTCTAATTTTAGTTGGTCAGGGAGAGATAGATTTTAGACTGATCTCCCATCTCCTCTGCTGCAGCACCAATTAGAGCCTTGTTCCTTGGCAACAATCATTGTGTCAGTGATTGGTTTTCTGGGTGGAGAGCAGCAGGACCTAGATTGAACTCCCGGTGTTTCAGTAACAAGAAGACTAGGTACAATGAGCTCAGGCAGGTTCTCTGCTTAGGATCTCACAAGGCTGAAATCAAGGTGTTCACTGAGTTGCCTTGCTTGCTGAAGGATCTAGGGGAAGAGTTCACCTCCAAGCTCATTCAGATTGTGGGCAGAATTTATTTTCTTCTCAAGCTTTCTGTGTGGCCCCTTCCATATCCAAGCTAGCAACAGTAGGTGGAGCCCATCTCAAGCTTTGAATTACTCAGACATCCCCCTCTGCTGTATCTCTCTGACCTCCTCTCCTGCCTTTCTCTTCTGCTTTAAAGGCTCCTGTGATTACACAGGGCCCACCCAGATAATCCAGGACAATCACCTTAATTTAAAGTCAGATGATTGGCAACCTTAGTTATATCTGCACAGTCCCTGTTGGATGCAGGTAACATAGGCATGGAGTAATACCAGGAAGTAAAGGTCACAGGAGCAAAAATTCTACCTACTACATCCATGATAGAATTCAGGAATACCATAAGCTTGGATGGCAAAACAATTACCTCTTTATATTTTTACAAACATTTACTGAAAAAGCACCATTTCTTCCAATTATGAATGTTGGCAACAAATCCACAGTAATAATGGCAGTACCAATAGTAATCTTGTCACCATAAAAATCACAGGCATCACCCAGGTGCGGTGGGTCACGCCTATAATCCCAGCACTTTGGGAGGTCAAGGCGGGCAGATCACCTGAGGTCAGGAGTTTGAGACCAGCCTGACCAACATGGAGAAACCCCGTCTCTAATAAAAATACAAAATTAGCCAGGCATGGTGGTGCATGCCTGTAATCCCAGCTACAAGAGAGGCTGAGGCAGGAGAATCGCTTGAACCCGGGAAGCAGACGTTGCAGTGAGCTGAGATTGTGCCACTGTACTCTAGCCTGGTGACAGAGCGAGACTCTGTCTCAAAAAAAAAAAAATTCACAGGCATCTTCATTTATATTAGAGTTAATGCAGATAATCCTGAAATATCATTTATGTTCATCACTTTCAAAATCACAGCTATTGGGCCAGGCGTGGTGGCTCACGCCTGTAAGCCCAGCACTTTGGGAGGCTGAGGAGGGTGGATCACAAGGTCAGGAGATCGAGACCATCCTGGCCAACATGGTGAAACCCCGTCTCTAAAAAACAAAACAAAACAAAATCACAGCTATTATTTGATCGGCTTCTAGATCTTAGTAATTGTGTTAATAAAGATGCATATTACCATGTCACAGATTTGGTTTTTTAAAATATTTGATAACGTTCATTTTGAATTAATTTCCTTTATAATCTCGCATATTTTATTTTATGCATTCAAAAGATTATTCTGGCTGGGCACAGTGACTCACACCTGTAATCCCAGCACTTTGTGAGGCTGAGGCGGGGCATCACTTGAGGTCAGGAGTTCGTGACCAACCTGGCCAACATGGAGAAACCCCGTCTCTACTAAAAATACAAAAATTAGCAGGGCATAGTAGCCCACGCCTGTAATCCCAGCTACTCAGGAGGCTGAGGCACAAGAATCATTTGACCCGGAGGTGGAGGTTGCAGTGAGCCGAGATCATGCCACTGCACTCCAGCCTGGGTGACAGAGTGATACTCCGTCTCAAAAAAAAAAAAAAAAAAAAAAA